TGGTGGTTCCCAGTGGCAGAATAAGGGGAAATGGGCACAAACTGAAACACAGGAAATTTCCTTTAAACAAAAGAGAAAAATTATTACTGTAAGGGAGATGGGACACTGGAACAGGTTGCTCAGAGAGGTTGTGGAGTCTCCATCCCTGGAGATACTCAAAATCTGACTGGACATGGGCCTGAGCAATCTGCTCTAAATGACCATTCTCTGAGTGAGAGGATTGGACCAGATGATCTCTAAAGGCTTCTAGTCTCAGCTATTCTCTGATTTTGTGATAGGAATTATACTGAGAATATTGTTCATTAATCTAATACTATTTAAAATATACCAGTATTTTTTTCTTATTTCTTAAACTGGCCAATTAAAAGACAGAAGTAAACTCTGTACATGTTTTTTTCTCACTTTAAAAATGAAACTGAAATTTCTTTGATTAAATTTTTAACCAGTCAACTATTTTGTGCCAGTTCCATCTGTTGTTAGATGGTTTCCAAACTCATTAAAAGTATCCAGATGTTATAGTGATGAAGGCCATAGAAACATCTAGATATTTAGAGGCATGGAAATTTCTCTTGTCTAGCTCTTGCATGGTTAAAAGGGAGCTTGCTCATGCTGATGTATTTTCAATTAATGGATTCCCTCAATTTCCTAAATTAATGACAGTATTAATACTACAGTTTGCCTGGAATTTTGACAGAAAAAAAATAATCACACAAATGGAAAAGTGTAAACAGCACAGAAATGTATTTTGTTTATTTTTGGGGAAATACATAAACTAACATTGTAACTATGAAAATTCCAAGAGAAAACTTCTTCGGATGCCCTAGCATTGTTGATCTTGTAAAATAAAAGGCACCTAAATATCTAAGCAAAATGTTAAGCCACAAAATACAGAGAAAAGAATATTTTATTTTTAAATAACATTAGTACAAAGCAGTGAAGGCCAAGATGAACATAAAATCAGGAATAATTTGCAGCCCAACTTTAGACATCAATTTTGGACAGGTGACTTTCAGTCTTTCACGATAGTTGACAGGGGACAGAAAATTGATGGAGACTCATTCTTTAGAGAATACTTATTCATCCATCATTTAAAAAAAAAAAAATACATCACCCTGCAAATTCTTCAGTTAAAGTGATTTGATCTTTATTTACACTGGATAATAATTTTTAGTGAGTTTCTGAAAGGCAGATTATACTGGATACTCACATTTATATTTTATCAATTCTTGTTAATTTTTAAACATATTTTTGTCATTGTCTTCAAATTATGCTTGTTGTGGTTTGTTTTTAAGAAAACTATTTTCAAACACTAGAAAATGAACAGAATAAACACATGCCAAATGGGGTAGGCAACAATGACCCCCAGAAAACACAAGAATAATGAACTGTTATTTTTCTAATAATCAGAATTTCCCTTCTTGTGACATAATCTCAGCTGGCCAGGTATCAGTCATTGATGTATTACAATATTTCACAGCTGATTCAATAAAAAATAAGTATCCTGGCACAGAAAGAGGAAGGAAGAGGTTCTATATTCTATCTCCACTACTGGCTGCACCATACTCCTGCCTGACTTAAGGAAGCAGCTTGATTCACTTAAACTTAAATTGATCATAAAACTGTGGACTCAAAGACCCTTACTTGAGCTTGTTGCTGTTTCATATTAACCACTTTCTGCCAGTAGGTCCTATTTGTCAGTGCTTTGTAATGTCTCAGCTGTACTAATCTCTTCATAATATATTTGATTTCAAGGCAATGATGACTTTCATATACCTTCTCAGATTTTCCCTGTATTTTATTAAGAAATACACAGCTGAGAGTGAAAAAAGTTACCACAGATCATATGTGGACCTTTTTCTTTACAAAATGACCAATTTTAAGTCACATATTTGTTCCCTTTCTTCAGTGTTATACTCTTAGACAGGAAGGTGCTTAAGAGAAAGCTGGAGGCAACAACAATCTTGAAATACTTACAAAATGTAGAAACAGGCATTAGAATTTGGCTCACTATAAGGTATAATTACTGTGTAAATACTTTATAATAACCCATTACAACACAAATATAGCTTACCAATTCTATTTTTACAGTTTTCCCAAGATACAGCTCTTGATAATAGTTATGTGTGCTTGTTAAGTTATGCCTCAGCACTTGCTTGAATATTCCATACATAGTTTGCAACTTAATTCAAAATGGGAAAGAGCAGCGCAAGTCACAGGGAACTTAACTTGGCTCAATGGCAAAAGGAAAACATTGACTATAAAAATAAGATTTGATAAAAGTGCAAATGTGATAGAAACAATTAGCTGGATTAAGTTTGTTAGTTATCTTTAGAAACACCAAAGAGAAGACTTGACTGTAGCTAAACATTATTTTAAAAATAAACAGAGCTAGTGGAAACATCAGTGTTTAAATTTCTGAAGATTGGAGGAAAACGATGGCGATAATTTGGCATCTCACCTATGGTTCCTCCTAAAAATTGACACATTTCCAAAGATTTTTCTCACAGGTAGTTTTAAAATTATTTTTGTTTGAAGTTTTTATAAACATAACATCCAGACTTTCCCTTCAAAAAGAGGGCGTTTTGGTTTTGGGGTTTTTTTTATAAATTTGACTTGTTTTCTTCTTGAAAAGAGGGTATGATAAGGTCCTGAGTTGGTAATGTGGAACTGCCTTTTTTTTAAAACCAGTAAAAAAAAAAAAAAAAAAGGCATTTGAAGATGTCACATTTTAAATACACTGGCTTTAAAGCTTTAAGTGTGTATAAATTACAGCAGTTGTAGGTGCCTACCTTCATCCTTTATAACAAAGGATACCAGATAAAGATATTATAAAACATATGGAAAACAAATATAATTCAGTAGCAACACACTAGAATATTTATCCCCAAAAGTCTAACCTGGATAATGAACTAGAACTGGTTCCGTTTCTCTTTATAGGTGTTCCAGCATGGTGGGCTGACCATTCTGTCACACACACCTCCCCCCCCTCAGCTGGACAAGGGAGAAAAAATGTAAGAAAGGGCTTGTGGGTTGAGATAAAGACAGGAGAGATCACTCAACCAATTACCATCATGGGCAAAACAGACTCAGCTTGGGGAAAATTAACTCAATTTATTACCAATCAACCAGAGTAGGGTAATGAGAAATAAAACCAAATCTCAGAACACCTTCCCTCCATCCTTCCCTTCTTCCCGGGCACAACTTCACTCCCAGATTCTCTACCTAACA